GAGTAGGAGCTATGAATCAGGCTGCCTGGATCAAATCATTGTGTTACTTATCAGCTGTATAACCTTGGGAAAGTTCCTTAACCTCTCTGTGCCGCGGTTTCCTCAGTGGCAGGATTGTGGTGAAGGATAAATGAATGAATGTTGGGAAAGCCCACGGGCCAGCCCTGACACGTGGCCAGCATTCCGCAGAGGTTAGTTGCCCGTGGTACATCCTTCTAATCTCTCCTACACGTATCTCATCTCCTGCCTACATGGGCTCAGTCGGTATCTTTTATTCTGCAGTTTGCTTTTTCCACTCCGTCTATGTATTTCATTACTTTTTTCCTATGTCTGAGGCTTTTCTGCCCTGGGGCCCTCTTTCCGCTTGTCCCTCCCCCGTGGAGTCCAGTGATTTCTCCCTGTCTCCCCCTTCCTCATCCACGTTTTCCCTCAGGATATATTTGGCTATAGGGTACGTGCACTTGCCAGAGAGAGACAGAGAGACAGAGAATGAGAAATCACCACAATCCCTCCTCCTCCAGTCTTCTCTTGGGACCCTGGGTATGCACACACATGTGCCTGGTGTGAATTTTAAGCCACCAGGTCCAGGACTCAAACTGTGGTCCACTATGTGGGAGTCCAGCGATATAACCATTATGCCATCTGCTGGTCCCTCCCCAGGATATGTTCTAACCAGCGGGTTCATACTAAAGTGTAAAGAACTGATGGAGGAGGCTCACATACAGGCTGGGTAGGGAGAGACCAGGAACCCCTCTTATCACATGCCTTTAGGCTGAGAGGGGAGTTCACTGTGTCTCCCTGAATCCTCATGAGGGCCCATGCCATAGGAAGGTGAGGCACAGGGAGGGTCAGTGGCTTTCCAAAGTCCCCCTGCCGTTGTGGGCAGTGGTCTGGTATGTTTTGATCACAACTAAGCTGGAACCCCTCAGCTTTGGACTGAGGCAGAGTCAGGAGAGGCTGCGGGGAGCCCCAGCGAGACAGCCTTAGGGCTGGAGGGGGCAGGGCTCCTCTACGTAATCAGACCCTCTCCCTCCAGGAAGAGGGTGCTACCTGGGGGCAGGTAGAGCAGGGGAGAGAAGCTTTCTCAGGGAAGCCCTCTGACCCTGGGGGGCACTCCAGCTCCTGGTCTGTGGTGTGGACCCGTTTCAGGCATACAGGTCTGGAGGTCCGGATGGTGGGAGGGCCCAGGGTATTTTGGTTTCCCAGGTCCCTCCTCTCTGGCTGGACTGGGCACTGGGGGATCTGGGAGTGCGGGCTGAGGGTGGGGGGTTAGCATGCTCAGGGTCCCTCCTGGACCACCCCATCCACCCTCGGATCCCTTCATGTCCCTCAAGCCCACACACATCCCACCCAGGCCACACTCAGCAGCCAGGCTGGGGACTAGGGCACAGGGAGCTGGCTGGGGCCTGGTGGAGGGCAGCTGTGAGGGAGGTCGGGCAGCTCTGTGAGGAGGGGCTGGGGGAAGCCTGCCTCTGCCCGGCCCAGGCACCTGTCAGAGGACCGGCCATCGCTCTGCTGCACAGACATCTTTCACAGCTCCTGCCCATCTTCTCCGGGGGCTCGCCTCGGCCTCGGGCAGGTAGAGGGAAATGTGTCCGGCTTGCAGGCCAGGGAGGGGAGCTGAGCCCTGACAGCGAGAGGCCGGGGCCTAGCACAGGTTCTCCTCACGGCAGAGCCTGCTCTGGCCCGGGCCAGGCCAGGTGCCCAGCCTTTGTTGGAGAAACAAGGGGCTCGTTTTCCCCCAGCCCTCCCTGTGCTGGCTGGCACTGCCAGGCCCAGCCTCCCCTCCCCCACCGGAGCCAACTGAAGTCAGATTGTCTGTGAGAGGGGAGGGGTTACCCAGTGCTGGGCGGGTGGGTGTGTAGGGGGTGCAGCTGCAGGGAGGGGCCGGGCTGGGGCAGAGCCTGTGAGGTCTGCAGGGCAGTGTGTGTGCTGGGCAGCAGGGGTGCAGAGACAGGGCTGCCCCTCTGTGGGAGCACCCCGAGGGGCCAAGGGCATGGGTGGGGCTGCAGCTGTGTCCCTGCTGCAGGGAGGGGGAGGGGGAGCGGCCATCTGCTCCTTTCTCCCTGGGGACTGCCCTGCTGGGAGATAGGCAGAGACCCTGGGACCTGGGGGGGCTGCTTCCCTGATTCATGGCCTAGGAGAAGGAAGGCAATGAGGGCAGGGCCGCGGTGGACTCAAACCTCGAGGGTGGACGGCGCTTTCCCGGCTTCCCTA